ATGAATCTGACAAAGAAAAAAACACAGCCTCCATCGGGACCTTTCGTATACATGGCGAACGTCATAAACCATTGACCAAGAAGGCGTCGTTGTGAGCATATACTGTATACAGTTTAAATTTTGAGTTAAAATTTCTTACATTTTTTAGATTCGACTACTTCTCCGACTTACTTGTGGCAAACAACCGGTAAGTTTGAATAAACATATCAAAACGTGACATTTGCAGATCGCAGCGAAGCCATTATGATATTGGACACCTATTGCTAAAAATATAATTAATGTTCATTATTTAATAGAAATTATAAATTAACAATAATAATTAATAGATATATACATAATAAAAACATACCAAACTTTAAATATATATAACAGATAAAATACGTATTCAATTATAGGAATAACATTAAAAGAAGACACGTAGTTAATTCTCATAAACAATATTAGAAACAATAAGATTAATAATTATTCAAAAAGGTAATTTCACATAGTATTTACAGATGGATATACAAATTCCTTACAAATAGTAATACAAACACAACCAGCAATTTAGAAAAATTTCAAAAGTATTATGTCATTACAATTTCTTTTAAACTCGAGGAAACGTTTAGAATGTGTTAGTTTTTCATTAAAAGAATTCCACAGTTAAACTAAATAATTTTTTTGTTTATATTTAGTTCCTGGAACACCAATATCAATATTATTTTGTAACCCCATATTATTTTTGTATCCTTTTTTTGAGAAAACGGGATTGAGATGCACCAGGGATTCTGTAATTATTTTTATAATATTATCTTTTTACTTTCAGATGCAGCTGTTCCCTCGACTAACTGGAGAAAAACAACAGGTAGTATGATGTAAACACTTGAAAAGAAAACAAATATGATTGAATAATAATAATAATAATAATAATAATAATAATAATAATAATAATAATAATGGTCATAATCATGACAATCATGATAATGATAATGGTAATGATAATGACAATGAAAATGATATAAAAATGGCAATGCACTGGTAATGGCAAACCAGGGATTTAGTAATTATTTTTATAATATTATATGTTTACTTTCAGATGCAGCTGTTCCTTCGACTAACTGGAGAAAAACAACAACAGGTAGTATGATGTAAACACTTGAAAAGAAAACAAATATGATTGAATAATGATAATAATAATAAAATAATAATAATAATAATAATATTAATAATAATAATAATAATGGTCATAATCATGACAGTCATGATAATGATAATGGTAATGATAATGACAGTGAAAATGATATGAAAATGGCAATGTACTAAACCAGGGATTCTGTAATTATTTTTATAATATTATCTTTTTACTTTCAGATGCAACTGTTCCTTCGACTAACCGGAGACAAACAACAGGTAGTATGATGTAACCACTTGAAAAGTAAACAAATATGATTGAATAATAATAATAATAATAATAATAATAATAATAATAATAATAATAATGGTCATAATCATGGCAATCATGATAATGATAATGGTGTGAAAATGATATGAAAATGGCAATGCACTGGTATTATATAGGTTATAATAAATAATTAATAGTAATATAATTGTTACATACTATTATTATCTTTTATTATTAACTTTTTCTATTCATTCTCTGTATTACCACACACAAATAAATTATAATAGTGTAAAGCCTCATTCATACTGAATCCGAATACTGTATTCGGATTGGAAGGCCTACCGAACTTAACCGATCAGAATATCGAACCCGTGTGTAAGCTTATGGACGCTGGTGCTCAGCGCATCGGAAACACGGTTTGGATTCGGATCCTATGTGAATGCAGCTTAAGAAACTGAAATGTTCACAATCCTTGCAAAAAAAAAAAGCAGGGGAAGATTTGGGATGGGGGCTTTTTGGAAGTCAAAAAGGGGGAAGAAAGAAAGAAAAAGAAATAATCTCCCAAAATGCCTCAGAGGTTATTTTCGGCGTCTAGAAAACCCATGAGGTATTATTGTCGCATCGGCTCCACTTTCTCTCCCACTCTCTCTTTCGGGCATCTCTGGACCCACCCCTGATGAGATTGAAATTACCTTTTTTTGAATTTCAATGGGTTACAAATGTATATAATTATTTCAAAATATTTTCTAATTACTTACAGATGCCAGCTCTCCCATTACAGATTTGGTTCAATCAGGTATATTTTACTTTTTAACTCTAATTTTATCTTCTGCCCACTTCTTCTGACCAGCAGAATGTATCACTGCGTCCGAGTCCAGACTGTAGAAACACCTGTTTAATGAAGCCCACCTTTTTAAAGCCCAGTGGGGTCTGTGAGAAAACAGTAGATTTCTACTTTACAGGTTATATAGTATAAAGAAGAAAACAAATATGTAGCTTGTGCAAATATTTTCACAGTGTCCACTTTTTCAGATGTGATCTGCGACGACTCGTATATGACAGTATATATCGGTGATAGTACCCTGGTCGACGTAACTTATTTCCCACCACATTTGATCGATTCAGATTGCACAACATTTTACAATACTTACAAAAACGGAATGTATTGGTTAGTCTTTGTCACTAGGTACGATAGATGCGGAACAACAGTGAATGTAAGTATAGCAACAATCGATTTCGTAAACTAGACGGCGTGCATTATAATTCATTAGTGTAATGAATCTATACAATTCAGTGAAGTGAAACTGGGGTGGATGCAGGGGGTGCAGATGATGCGATCGCACCCCTAAAATGTATTAAGAAAAATAATTGTTGTATTGTATTGTTGATATGAGTTACCAGTAAGATTATTAAGGTATGAGAGTGCAATTTCCGGGCACCTACAGGTCCGTATTCTAAAAATATTCGCACCTCACCTCCCAACCATGATGGGGCTGAGGTGATATGTACTCCCACGCACCCCTTACCATCTAATCCTGCATCCGCCCCAGTGAAAAATGGTTAATATGATGAAATATTTATATATTACGCCAAGCTGAATTGAATTAAATAAAAGACTTATTGATATTAAAATAATTTAAAGTTTCTAGATGACTTAGTCGAGTACTCGAATGCAGTTTATTACAAAGAAGTGGGTAACAGCACCATAATTTCAAGGGAAACTCAACATGTACTTCCAGTTAAGTGTAAACTTAAAAATTCTGGCAGATCTTCAATCAACTTTGACCCACAAGAGGTCCAACTCCTAGGGGATGACGTGGAAGGAAGTGGGAACTTCTCTTTCACGTTAGACATGTATAGAGAAAGTAATTTCAGCACACCATACGGCAACAATGATTATCCAGTGGTTGTAGATATTGCGCAGACGATCTATATGGGAGCCCACGTGACATCTTACACGGGAGACATCAAGTTATACATTGATTATTGTGTCGCTACGCCAAGTTCAGACGAAAATGCCTCACCAAAATATGACCTTATCGAAAACAGGTGAAAATGGGTTTTATCAACTAACTGTACCACCATCCTATCTTTCTCTTCTTTCTCTCTCTTCTATCTTTATACCGGTAATAACTTCTGGCAAATCAACAGNNAGATGTGTATAAGAGACAGATATATATATATATAATATGTAATATGATTATTCTATAAATTTATCTTTTGTTTATCAGTTGTCCTTCCGATGATACAACAGATTTTGACGAGTATAAAGGTGACAGAACCAACGTTTACTTTTCATTCGATTCATTCAGATTCGTGGAGCACGAAGTACTGGTACGAGCATGACTACTTTAATTTATAGCAACTTTTAAAATTAGAAACATATTAGAATATATAAACATAATAAGCCTATGGTTATAAATCATATTTTTTAAATTGATGAAGAATTATAAGATTACAGTATACTGTACAAAAAATACTGTGGAAAACTTAACCTCGCTCTTTAACAGTCAACGTCAAATTCAACGACAGACTATGGTATTTTACGACTATCTCAACAGTTAAATTAATTTATATACAACAGATACAATGCAGTAATAGAAAAACTACTATAACGGGCAAAATAGGCCCTTTACAAAGTATATCAAATGCAACCTACTCCTGTGTTTCAACGTCTGACCTATAGAATAAAGTTGAGCACTGCTTAAACAGGAGCGGATTTAGGGGGGGGGGGGCGGCCCGGCCCCGCCCCCCCCCCCTTTTTGGGAGGTAAAGAAAAGAAAAAAAAGAAAAAAAAGAGAGAAAAAGAAAAAAATGATAGCCCAGAATGCCTCAAATGTTATGTTCGGGCGTCTAGAACACAAAAATTTCGCGGGGGCATGCCCCAGACCCCCTACGAAAGTGTTGTCTCATTTGGCCCAACTTTCGGCCCCCGCTTCCGGCCCCCCCCCCCTTTTGGACATTTCTGGATCCGCCCCTGTTAAATATTGTTTAGTTGTTATAATCTGAATAATTTTACCCCAATCTTTTCACATAATTTAGGTTTATGTGCACTGCAAAATGTCTGTTTGCAACGCAACTGATCCAGCGTGTAGTCGAGCGTGCAATCAGCGTACTAAACGCGCTGCCTTCGAGTCCTACAAGAATCAAAGATTGACCCAAGGTCCATTCTTAATTCGCCGAGATTTTTCACGAGAGCACGGTAACTATGTCATTATTATTCCCTATTAAAGTCAGTACTCGAAAGTCATTCTTGAAATAATACTAAATATGTATTATTTTTAGCTGCGTTTTAAAAATCTTTAAAAAAATATTGGCCAGTTCTTAGTCAACGAAAAGTTATTTGTTTAGAATTTGGTGATTAATTTATCGTATAGCAGAATAATAATTAGTTAGGTTTTTATTTAGTGCTGTATATATTTCCATTATGTATTTGTGAGTATGTTTTTAAAGTGATAAATCAATGTACTGGCCATTTCTAGTGCTTGGCATCTCGTTTCTGTTCATTTTATGTAAGCAATTTTATTATTGTCCATAGTCTTTTTCACCTAAAATTGAATAAGAAACAGACCTAGTAAACAGTAGAAACCTTTATTATGACTTAAATTATCTTTTCAGCTTTTTCTGTAGATGATCCAAGCGTCTCGGGGAGCCAAGCGAAAATTCCAATCATAGCGGTATTCTTTTTTGTGAACTTTCTGTTTTTCGTTGGTATCGCTGTGTATAAAACTAAGAGACGTAGAACACCTAAAATGCATTATGAGTGTGAGCAGCCTCTTCTTGAATAAAGCTCATGATAGTTTAAAGTTTTAGAGAGTGTGGAGAGAATGTATCTTGATTTAATCAGCCATTAAACTTTTAATTTGAAAATCAAATTCATTGTTGTTTGTTAATTCACGTCATTGATTTGATAGAATTTAAGAAAATAGGTGCGTATGGATAAAGCAGGGATAGCATTTGACTCTTATAATTATAGCAAAATTCATCATCACATAACTATTATAGTCTTTTACCATAAACTTTTAATAGGCCTAACACATGTTTTATATTTACAAAATTTTGAAAAAATATACAAGAATCGTTTGTTAATAAATATAATTTAACGTCACTCCTTCTTTAAAACCTGTCATTTATACAGTTCATTCCAACAATTTCCAGGCGTCTTCTTGACTTATGAAATGTAAAACAATCAATCATGAAATTTCAATAATACTATATCTAAAATATACTACTGTCTTCAGGTAGATGGGATAGTCATATTTTTTCAAAATGTTTGCATTTATTGATTCTTTTATTTTTTATTTAGCCTTTCATTAATTTAATAACAATACAATTTGTACGGTAAAATACCGTAAAACCTCGAATTGAAGGGCTGGGCTTTTCATTTATTTATTTATTTTTTTTTTGCGAAATTTATGTGGGCTTCTTTTCGATGCTACTTTTGCAAAGTAAAGATGGGGCTTCTTTTCAAAATGAATGCTGTAAATTTTGTGAATTTGTACTATAAAATAATAAATAAGGCCACTGTGAAATCAATCTGTATCCTAAAGTGTATTTAACTAGCATTAAATCACCTAAACTACTGTATAATCCAAAGTTGTTTTTGATTTATTTTGTTTTTTGAAATTTATGTACAGTGTATGTACTGTACTATCTCGAAAAGAAGCCTATGCTATCCTTAAAAGTAGCCCATGGGCTTCTTTTTTAGGCTACTTTGGTCAACTAAAGAGGGGACTTCAATTCGAGATAGGCTTCATCTCGAGATTATCTGGGCGTCAATTAGAGGTTTTTGCGGTAATACAATAAAATAACCAAAATTAACATTACGTTTACAGAAAAACAGTGTAAATATAAGGAGGTAAGGATTAACAAAAGCAATTAAAATCGCTCACAAGCTTGTAAACCCATTTCTAGAACAACAGAAATAAGTTAAAAAACCATAAAAGCATAACAAAAACAGTGACTTGAACATGGCACACTGGAATTGTGAAGGAACTGCCCGTGACAGTGCATTGACAACGGCATGTATAATTGGTAACGTAAATGGAAGCCTCGTATCATTTGTTGAAGCACATTGATTCACCTCAAGCAAAATCAATTTTACTAAAAAGGATTCCGCCTGGTCCGGAAACACTTTCAACTGATTAAAATGACCAATCCCTGCCACATAATTCTGATAGTAGTTGCTGTATAGCCAGCTTCAAATAAATAAGCTATGAATAAAAAGATGTTTGTACGGATGTAGGCAACAGGCTAGCTAATAAATTTTGAGGCTTCCCAAATTTTCCAAAGACATTCAAAGCCTGAATATAAGTTCTCCTAGTCTGAGAGGCCACCCCGGCAAAAGCAAATGTTTAACTGTCATTTTCAGTTGGTCTCCAGCAGGTGATGTATTTGTACCGGGTGTGTATCGTGTTGAGGGGACAACGCCCTAAACTCGTCTACCTGCAATCGAGATAAATGATCAGCAAAATGTTTGCCTTCTCATGTATATGTTCGGCCGTCAGAAGAAAAATGAATTTTAAAGAAGTAAGTACTACTCGTCGCAATAGGTGCATAATGTGACCTACATCAGAAGTCATATTGTTATTTGCCACTATCACTGTGGTGTTGTCACACACACAAACTATACATTTGTTTGCCAGACGAACTCTCCAGAATTCGGTTGCTAGTGCAATTGGGATCATCTCTTTAACGTTAATATGTAAAACTTTAAAGTCTGTAGGCCACTTCCTAAAAAGCATGCTGTTCCAAACTACCCCCATAGCCTAAATTACTTGCATCTGTAAAAAAGTGCAATTTTGATGATGATATTCACCGTTTTGGCAGAAACATCGATACCCTTTTAAATTTCCCTAAAACGCAAGTTACCTAAGATAATGTGTGTATAAGGTTTAGTGTGTCCTTTAGTAATGTTAATAAAACGTTGTAAAAATATCCTCCATGGTAACACTATGCTGCAACCAAAAGACTTAAAAATATAATTGATTTTAAAATATCATTACTGTTATTACTTAAAATTGGTTTATTTTAGAAACGAATGAAAATGTTTTTTTTTTCACCACCCTGTGCAGCACACCTAGCTTCTCCTTTATTCGGTTCAATTTGAAACAACACTAAACAAATTAAAGACCCCCTCCAATTAAAGACAACATTTCTGCAGCCCCGGTTAATGCTTATTTTTTAATCATTAACATCCAATTAAAAATCGGATGGCACAAAGACTGTTATTACATTATCTTTTAGAATCATTATAAAAATGAATATTATGTTATGCTCTGGACGAAATGTATCATTAAGAAGTTGTGTAAAAATATTATGCTATGTGTTTGGTAAGTCTTTACTGAATTATGTCCTGCTTGTAAGGGTGCAGTCAAAGATGATGAACTTAATATTAAAAACAACCGTTTTAACATACATTAAATGTTTAAATGTTTCGATTTATTTCATAAATTCACATTCATATTCTGATATATGATTACAATAGAAAGTTCAAAGGTAAGTCTAAAACAATAAATAAACATATAAAAAATGAGATGTAAGAATTACATTGGAAGAAAAGTTTTAAAAATTTAACTCTTTTAAATAAGATAATTATAAATATCTTAATTCTTAACAAAAAAAAATAAATTAAAAAAAAATAAATAATATTTTTTTGGAGTCTAGAACATAATAATTTCGAGTGGGCATGAAAGGAAGCTATACAATGATAATAGACAACGGCGATTATTAAATGAAGTTGTGATAACTTTCTAGAGCATTCGGTATACAGATTATGCATGGAATGTCCCTGATATTGTTGAAAAGAAGATTGATTAATATAATTTTTGGTCCATATTATTACTGAAAAATACAAATGAAAATTTCCCATTTTCAATGAAGATAATTGCTAAAAATAGATATATTCAAGATGAGCGGATTTAGGCGCATTCCCCCACCCCCTTTGGTAGGCCAAAAAAAAAAAATGAGAATGATAGCCCAGAACGCCTCAAATGTTAATTTCGGGAGTCTAAAAAAAAAATTTCGCGGAGGCATGCCCCCGGACCCCCCGC